TACTAATATGCAAATAAGGTACAAAGATGTACCTTTCAGCCACAGTGACAACTTTGTGCCTTTTTTCTTGAAGTGCACCTAAAATGTATCCATGTTGATAGCCCTCTTAGTTTTATTAATTATTACTTTGAGTTATAACATTATCATGTTTTTTTTTTGTAGAGAGTTTCTTACTGAGAGTTTGAGAGAGTAAGGTTCACTAAAATGTCACTTCATTAATTGCAGAAGGCAGACACATTTTGTTCCACAAAACAATTCTGGCTTTAAAAATCCATTTGAAGTTTTATGTGGAACTTTGGTGTTAAATGAGCCTTCAATACTTTGTGGCTGTTCCCCTCTAAAATAACTTGTGAAGCACCACAGAGAATATTGTAAATTCTCTTTTTGCCTGACATAAAGGGCTTTTTAAAAAATAATTTTAAAAAATGTCTTTTGATAATGTCTTTTAAAACAAACTTTCGCTGAACTGAGTCATTCTGTGGCTACAGCTACTCACCCGTTGGTCACCCATAAGCCTTTAAAACATGCCACAGTTCTAGAAATTTGCCTGTCAAGACATCACGCCACATGTTTCTCAGAAAATATAGGCTAAAACGCTGTTATGTGGCTCAGAGATCATAAACAATTTCACTTTTCCCAGACTGGATTCATTTTGTGGCATCTCCCGTTTTCTCAGTTCCCATTTCTCTTTTTATTTAAAGTCTAAAACACTTTATTAAAGGAATAGTTTACCTAAAAATGAAAACACTTTATTAAAGGAATAGTTTACCTAAAAATGAACATTTGCTGCAAATGTTCTTGCCCTCAGGCCATCTAAGATTTTGATGAGTTGGTTTCTTAATTGGAACAGATTTGAAGAAATTTAGGATTACATCAGATGTTCACCAATGGATCCTCTGCAGTGAATGGGTGCCGTCAGAATCAAACAGCTGATAAAAACATCAGAATAATCCACACGACTGCAGTTCATCAATTAACGTCTTGTGAAGTGATTAAGCCATTGCTTGTGGCCAAAATACGGATTGCTTGTGGATCATTGTGATGTTTTTATCAGCTGTTTGGACTCTCATTCTGACGGCACCCATTCACTGCAGTGGATCCATTGGTGAGCAAGTGGCGTAATGTTAAATTTCTCCAGATCTGTTCTGATGAACAAACAAACTCATCTACATCTTGAATGGCCTGGGGGTGAGTAAATTTGCATCAAAATGTTCATTTTTGGGTGAACCATTCCTTTAAAATATAACACTTTATTACCTGCACGACTTTCTTGTAAGTTGCCTTAGTTCAGAGATCCAGCGTCCAACTTAAAATATGCATTTAGACCGAAAGAACAACAAGGATTCTACACAACCCGTCACGGTTGTGTAGAATCAGCAGCTCTCATCTCCACAAACATCTGGGCTATTTTGGGTGTGAAGTTAATAGGGTCCCTAACCACACAGGTCATTCAGTAAAAACAGAAACAAAAGGATCCCCCCTTTCTCCTCAAAAACCAGACACTGTGGTAATCATTAACACATCCTAAAAGCAGGAAACATGGGCATCTCTTCTGAACATCCTCCAAGCTGTGACCCGCAGTCAATTGCGGCGTAACTAAGTTTAGTCATATTGGTTACAGACCGTTTCTATTTTTTTCAAAACACGGGTGCTTTTACGGATAAATGCATTCATTATGACTGATGGCCTGCTGACGTCTGTGACGAGACAATTATCTATTTTTAACTTAACTGGAGACATAATAAGAGCAATATGTAGTGCAGCGAATGCGCCATGTTAAAAACACGACAGATCACATGGTTCAATCCACACGAGGAGCTCCTCACTGGGCTGGTGTTTATGCAGAAAAATATTTCAAACATTTCTCTAATTGTGATTAACTGCCTCCAGAAAACCACTAGCAAACAACTAGGAAACCGTCCTTTTATTAGACCTCAAAGCAAATGTAATTAAATTTGTCACTCAGCTATTTTTGGAAAAACTTGTTTTCTTTTTTCTTGGTGGAGGAGGGCAAATATATAGTCTATTTTAAAGATCTATTTTCAATAGATTTATTTATAACCATTAAAAAATTAAGTAATATTTTTTCCCTTGCATCTTAAACACATTCACATTGAAATTAAAGAAATGTAAATGTTTATAAAGGTAATTATTTTTGTTTTTTTCAGATGACATGACTTTTTATCCTTTTTATATATATATATATATAACCAATGAAGTAACTCTGCAAAATAGTTTTTCTAAGAAAGGTTGTTTTTCATTGTTATGATAGGATATCATTTCTGCATCGCCCTGACATTTTTTACTTAATGGCCGCTGAAAATATTAAAATTTCAAAAAAGTCAATGTGCACTACCATTCCAATTTTTTGGGGGGAAAAAGATGTCAAAATAATGGATGCATGAAATTGATCAAAAGTGAGAGTAAAAAATATGTTACAAAATATGTATTTTAATTAAATGCTGTTCTTTTGAACTTTATATTTAAAAAATCCTGGAAAAATTACATTTTAGCATATATTAAAATAGAACAATTAATTGAAATTGTAGTAGTATTTTACAATTTTACTTTTACTGTTTTTTTATTTATTTTTATTTAAATGCAGCATCGGGAAGCATAAGAGACTTTGAAAAACATTTTTTAAAAATCTTACTGACCTCAAACTTTTGAATGGTAGTGTGTGCATGAATAAATTGAAAGGGAAAAAAAAAACATTATGTCATGTCATTGACCCTTCTATCACACTGGGCAGATGAGTACAGCAGTATGTTTTTTACTTTTAAGTTATCACAAATACATTCACTTAAACGTGTAATATGTCACATACAAAAGAATTCCAAAACTCCCCCCCACCCCGAAGAACCCTCCTTAGATACAGAAACACATGTGGCTTTAACAAATTCCACAGTTTACGCACTGAACATCTCTTCACGGTTGACCATCCTTGAGTACACAAGAGTGTGTGAACAGCTGTGTGTGAACTGGATTTGGCTACAGTATCTCAGCATGGGGCTGCACACGCTCTGATAGCTGCCTCACTGCAAACATGTTCAACTACACCAGTGTGTTCAGACGGTTGCAGTGCACAAGTTCCACAAGTATTACTGCACATTTCTTTTGAACTTTATATTTAAAAAATCCTGGAAAAATTACATTTTAGCATATATTAAAATAGAACAATTAATTGAAATTGTAGTAGTATTTTACAATTTTACTTTTACTGTTTATTTATTTATTTTTATTTAAATGCAGCATCGGGAAGCATAAGAGACTTTGAAAAACATTTTTTTAAAATCTTACTGACCTCAAACTTTTGAATGGTAGTGTGTGCATGAATAAATTGAAAGGGAAAAAAAAAAACATTATGTCATGTCATTGACCCTTCTATCACACTGGGCAGATGAGTACAGCAGTATGTTTTTTACTTTTAAGTTATCACAAATACATTCACTTAAACGTGTAATATGTCACATACAAAAGAATTCCAAAACTCCCCCCCACCCCGAAGAACCCTCCTTAGATACAGAAGCACATGTGGCTTTAACAAATTCCACAGTTTACGCACTGAACATCTCTTCACGGTTGACCATCCTTGAGTACACAAGAGTGTGTGAACAGCTGTGTGTGAACTGGATTTGGCTACAGTATCTCAGCATGGGGCTGCACACGCTCTGATAGCTGCCTCACTGCAAACATGTTCAACTACACCAGTGTGTTCAGACGGTTGCAGTGCACAAGTTCCACAAGTATTACTGCACATCAATGCAAAAGTTTTTAACGCTTGCTAATGGTCACAACACTTACTCACTGTCTTTCTAAGGCAACTTTATCAAGTGTCACATGATGCAACATAACATCATCTCCCACTTGAGGCACTAAATTATTGTCCAACGTATCGTCTAGAAGAATTTATCTAGCAATGTAGTGGTAAAACCCCTTTAAACCATTTAAAATGTTAATTAAGTCTAAATTGTACCATGTTAAATTTAACAAGTGACACAACAGTCCTACATTCAGTCATGCTGTCTGTGGGCTCAACAGACACATAGACTGTAAAGGCAACAAATAAATGACATTCTTAATTTAGCCTTTCTTTTTTAAACACAAACTGTCCCAAAAAGCTAGGACTAATTTTATCTCATTTTATCTTCTCAGAAATGCTTCCACCTTGTGGCCAAATATGGCATAAAACAAAATCTGAACAAATAAGACACATAAAGGTGCTTTCACACTTGGTTCGCTTGCCTGGTCCGAACCCGAGTTCGATTGCTCGCCCCTCCCCCTGCACCCGCTGGACTGCGTTCATATTATTTTATTTGGGTCCGAACCACGGTTCGTTTGCGTCATCAAGCCAGCAGCTGTTTACCCCGTTGCTTAGTAACGACGGCGCAGGAGAAGGCAGTAAATGCATAACATTGCTCTCTGCACTTTTATATATTTAAATTTTTGAACTGTTCGATTTGTTTACAAGGCTTCGGTACTTAACGGCACTTAAGTCTGCCTTACGAATGTACTGCAAATGCTCTAAAGAACGCTGAAGGCGAACAGAAATTAGATATACAGCTCTCTGTTTGCAGCGCATCAGTCACGCTCGTCAGGAAAGTGAGTGAAACGCACACAAACACATTTTAATCAAATAATACGTCATTAATAGCGGTTCACTTCCGCGATTTGGTACGATTGCGTTCACATCAGCAGCGAACCGTACCGGAGTTCACATGAACCGTACACCCCAGACCACCCTTTTTAAGCGGACTCTGGTACGGTTCGCAGGTGCGCACCCGAGTTCGGAAGACAGCGTTCATATCATCCAAACGAACCGAACTCTTGACGTCAATCGAACCCGTGTGCGCACCAAAAGTGCTAGTGTGAAAGCACCCTATGAATCATGTTAAAAAAAACATGGAATCTGAACAAATAAAACAATGGCAAGAGACTTTTTTTTATAAAATAGCCTTAATTAGAGATTAAAGACCTTCTTAAGGTTGAACGCTTCAAAAGAAAGAAATCTAAAAGAAAAAAATCCCCCACCGTTCATATATTGCAGTCTCACATTTGGTCAGAGATTTACCTGAAATATTCAGGGTAATCCATATTTTTCACAGCATTTCTTTCTCTCTGCATGTATAAGGTCCAGTGTATGAAACCATTTGGAATGAGGCTGCAAAAGCTCATGTTGGAAGTTGACATGGTCCCGTGTGCAGCCGCAGCGCCCCCTGTCTGTGAAGAGCACTTAAAGTTCGAAATTCCAAAGGCATTGTGTGCGGACTGGCACCAGATGTGTAGTGGTAAGTTAGCGTGTCGTAGTAGTGGTACTTGACCGATTTGCCATCAGGATCATGAGCGAAAGGCCAGAAGCCATACAAGTGGATCTCGTCACAAAAGCGCGTAGCCATGGTGTACATCAGGAGTCCGGTGGTGGGTCTTTTGATCTGGACATGATTGGTCAGCCAGTACCTGAAAGAAAATCAATGATTACAAACATAAGACCATAATTTACTATACTCAAGCGCATACTTTCTTAAAATTAGTATGATCTATACGGTTTTATATTTATATTTATACTGTTCTATATCAATTACATAAAATCTTCAAAAACAGAAAATCAGACATTACTGTTCAAACGTTTGAGATCGGTAAGAATTTAGGTTTTTGAAAGAAGACTTATGCTCACCAAGGCTGTATTTATTTGATCAAAAAAAAAAAAAAAAGTACAAACTGCAGTATTTTGAAATATTACTATATACATTTTATTTTATAATTTATAATTATTATTATTTATGCATTTAGCAGACACTTTTATCCAAAGCGACTTACAGTGCATTCAGGCTATACATTTTTTACCAGTATGCGTGTTCCCTGGGAATCGAACCCACAACCTTTTGCGCTGCTAACGCAATACTCTACCACTGAGCCACAGGAGCACTGCATTTTAATAAAGCAATAAGCGTCGTGCCTAAGAACGCCGCTTAGCTGTTATAAATTCACTGTAAACCACGGCTTCACGGGGCTTATTGCTTTTGTAAAACGGTTATTCTATATAAGTAGTAAGGTTTCACAAAATAAAACAGAGCAAATAAAGTGTAATGATATTAATAAAAACATTAGTCTTCCGCTAAACAATGTAGTTCCTCAAACGGTTGTGGTTCCAACAAAGTGGTTGCTGAGCAACACACAAATGTAAACAAAGGTGTATGTTTGTAGAGTAATTTACAACAGCTTCGAACTTAGCTCAACCAATCAGAATCAAGGACCGGAACTATCCGTTTTATAAAATGCTATTTATTCCCGTGATGGAATTTGGATGGAATTTTTAGGAGCCATTAGTCCAGTCTTCAGTGTCACATGGTACTTCAGAAATCATGCTAATATGCTGATTTGGTGCTCTAAAAACATTTATTCCCATTATTTATAATAAACAGTTGTGCCGCTTAAGAGTTTTGTGGAAACTGATACTTTTGTAGGACTTTTCTATGAATAGTTTTGATGAAAGTTCAAAAGAACAGCATTAAATTAAAAACTTTTGTAACATTATAAATGTATTTCCTGCCACTTTATCAATTGAATGTGTCTTTACTGAATAAAAAATATTGATTTTTTTTTTTTTTTTTAAACGAAGAAAACTTGAACAGTACGTGTATACGGTTTTAAAAAAGTGCCAGTCCAAATGTAACAGGGGATTATAAAATCCTGTGTTAACAGCTAAGGTTACTAAAAAGGAGCCTGAGCTCAGCTGCTGAATTTAGGCTAGATCTGCTTTTTAAAATATTCTCATGCTAAACTCGCCCACATCCAAAACCTGATGGCTGTGCAGCTCTTCCACGTTTAAAAGGAGGAGATCAGACAATTGAACAATGTCCATTAAGATGCACTGAACCCTCTCCAGTCCACTCACCCCTGAATAGCCCTCACAATAGGGCTCTCTCTGTGTATCCGAGAGGTGTCATTCATTCAGAACGGTTGAGGGAAAAGGGGGGCCTGGAAGAAAGGAGTTTCAGATAACAAAGGGGATCCCATAACTTAAAGCTACCTCTGGACTTTGTATGGCTGAGTACAGATTTCTTTATTCTGATTCATTTGGGAATTAAGTAAAACTCTAATAATGTGAAATATTACAGTTAATAAGTTTTCTATTTCATAATATTTGAACCTATAATGTATTCCTGTAATGGCAAAGCAGCCATTACTCCAGTTTTCAGTGTCACATGATACTTCAGAAATCTTTCTAATATTCTGATTTGATGCTCAAGACATATTTCTCATGATCAATGTTTAAAACTGGTGTCCTGCTCAATATTTTTGTGGAAACTGATAAATCTCTCTCTATCTTTATTGAACAGTATTGTATCAAGTAAATATTCTCTCTGCTAATGCTATAAATTATAGTGGGCACTGATTCAGACCTATTCAAACTAGTAACCTAAGCTATCTTTGTGAATTATTTATTAAAAGAACCAGCTCATAAGAATCATTGTTTTGCATCCCACAAGGACAACTCAATAGACTCAACTCAAAAAGATGCTTCTTGCCCTTATTCCACAGTCTTTCTATTGTAGCATTCAATACAGACTGCAAACCTACACTGAAAACACATAAAATGTAGTTTCTTTTGCTGTAACACTGATGATTTAACAAGAACAAATACATTTTCATGCGGCTACTGAAAATAGGCATAAATAATTTTTTTTAGATTTTAAAAATGGGTTTAGATGCACCATCTAAATGTATTTAATGACTTTTGAAAATTTGTTCATTTAAACTACACAGACTTTTGTTGTAAATGAAAGATTCCTGAAGTACGTTTGACAAGAAAATACTATTTCTGTTTTTCTACTTCAAAATTTCATGTTTTAATTCAATGTGCTATACTGTTTCTTTGTAATTTCTGAAAATTACTAGCAATCTGAAAAAAAAAATTAGGATCTACACTGAATTTCTGTTCATTTCCAAATGAGTGTATGCAGATGATGTAATTTTTAGATGAGCTATTCCTATACAAATGTACTTTTTTATCATTTGAACAACTACAACATATTGCAATTGGAATATTTTCATCAAAACATCATTCATTGAACAGCTGTCTCTTGCTTGACCTTTATTCTGGCCGTGGCAAGCCATGTTATACAGATGGATCTAAGAAAAGCCATCCTCAGCTAGTTGCATTGTAAGGATGGTAGGTTCCAGATACTCTGCTCTGAGGGAGGGCTGAACGGCAGACTTAAAATATGCAGAGGTCAATGAAAGAGGCAAAGGTTGCGCTATTTAAAGACAACCGACTACAACTGAGCCCAGAGGGGATTGAATTCATTGAGCGAACTAACAAAGACCTTCTCTAAAAAAATACAGATATATAGATGCCAGTGTGCACTTAGTGTGGGCCTCAATCCATTTACAGGAACAGTCCTATGCTGTGGTCGCGGGGTAGGATGTGAACATATTGATGCCTGAACTAGCTAGAGGCTTGATAGACCTGCTTCAGCGTGAATTGGTGTTGAGTATAGGCTTAAATGCACGGGCACGTACCCTCTGACAGCATGGAGCAGACGCAGGGAGGGGAAGGCGGTGCGGACGTTCACAGTATGCAGAAGAATTAGGCGGATGGCCCACTCCACTCGCTCCTCTCCTCCTTTAGCCATGAAGGCAGGGATCCACAGCACACTCCCGCTGAGGCTCTGCAGCCTGTGGACAAAGCGCTGCACCCACTCCTCACTGTTCAGGTCCTGAAAAGCACGCTGCACCACAGAAGGGTTCATAGTCACCAGACTGGTGCGCAGGCCCACATCAGTTGCATACTCCTCCACTGGAGCCAGGTTACACCTTGGAAACACACAGACTCACATGGTTAGGTCTTGATATAATCTCAAGTTAGTTCCTTTATATATTGTATATGTAAATGCCTGTGTGCATACATATGGTCAAGCCTTAGTTTTCCTCATCAAGCTAGTAACAAGCTATCAACACATCTGAAGTTTATTCCACTCTGCATGCCTGCTTCAAAGAGACTACATTACACACATAACATACTCTACACAAATGTGTCAATGTAGAACCTTCAAATAAGTGTTACATTTTCGCTGTTGCCAAAAGGGGTGCAATAGAACATTAGACTAAACAGACTTCCTTCACAGTTAGTTTTCCTATAGCGTGCAACATCTGGGTTCTGGAAGTAAAAATACCACTCGTTTTCTCCATATGGGACTTTTTTTTTTTTTAATGATAACTTAAAAATCCTTTAAAGACAAACCTATTGTCTGCAAGTTTGTATATATCCATCATGGATTAACAACCTTGCAGACAATATTTGTCTTTACACTTTTTTATGTATTATACATTTCTTCATTTTTAATTTGACTGTCATTTGTAATGCTTCATGGGATTGTAGTTCTTTCCCTCATTAAACCCATTAAGCACACGGTCTTGTATTTGAAGCAAAAAAGTATTTGAAAATCAGTAGTTTGTAATATTCACCTCAGAGCTGGTCGATTTGGTTCATGGCTTATAATGCTTTAATGAAGACTATAAAAATCTGTGGAAAAAAATACTATTTCAGGTCAATTACTGCCACAACGAAGCAACAATTTGACGTGTTTTTCAGCAAGTAATTTAAAGGTAATATTTACAGCACATTGATTGAGTAATAACACATTCGATTTAATGGAACAGACCTTTGAAAATAACTCTCTCTTCATGTGTTTGTTAACTCTAGATCAATGCAAAAACGTGTGTCAACTGGACTGCATGTTGACAGAAGGCCTGCACACTTCATGAAAGTACGTTTAACTGGGGTCTGGGGATCCTCAGAGGTCCATGGAAAAGTTTAGAGAAAAATAAACAAATAACAAACAAGATTGATAAAATGTATACATTTAATTAAATTACAAAATCTATATATAGTACAGTGCTGAGAAGAAAAAAGTAATAAAACATTGAAAAATTATAAATGTGTAAAATATGCAGGAAAATATTTAAAAGAATAAATTGGGTCTTTACATGAAATAGGCTACTGTATAGCTACCATTTAAATTTTAGGATGGGGGGGGTCCCTCACATTAGGATGATCATATTTGGGGGTCTGTGGCAGATTGAAAAGCCCTGCCAGACTATTGAGCATCAAGAGTGACACAATGTGACCTATAAAGAGCAAAAAAGTAAGAGTGAGCAAAAGACCTTCACTCCAGATTTGCTTCATTTTAAAGCAAGTAATTTATCTTTGTATAAACTACAGCATTAATAATACAGTACGCATTATCTTCTCACATGCAGAATGCTCCTGCAAGTGCCTTTTAAAGCTCATACCATCATTTAACTTTAAAAAATCCATAAAGACACACAGAGGTGACTTTAAAGCAAATACTGAGCACAGTGTTGGCATTATCATCTTGCCACAATACCTGGAAAACCTTTCAACACTGGCACCATGCCGACTGCTGAGGCTTAGCTGTCATGGTCACACTCCCACACAGTGTTGTCCTTGCCCAGCAGAACAGCCATGCCAAACGCACAGGAGGGATTTAAGTTCCTCCATTACTTAAATCTTTGAGGCTCTGTATGTCCCTGGACTGGAGCTGAATGACATTAATGTCCTAAAAGCACAGCTAGGCTGATAAAGACTCATTTAGGATTGGGAATATCACAGTATTACACAAGTGTGTCACATAAAGCACACTGCTGTACATGTTTTTTTCCAAGCAAACAGCTTTAGGCTGTACGCAGAGCATTTTACAGGCAAGTGAACTTTAGTCACTTTTAGAAGACCGCCTAATTATGTTTCCAGGGATGTGGCTTAGAATGACTTATACAAATGTCATATTGGCTCAGCTGGTCACTAATTGCAGTATGTTATTATCACCCTTCAGTTCTGAAAGCCTTCCGACAGTACGAGTCAAGCCTGGATGTACTGACAGCTATTTCAAAAGTGCATTGTGTCACATACTGATCATAATTTGTTTGAAATCCAACCCTTTTTTAAGCAAGTTTAAAGTTGTAGAGAATGAGAATACCCGGCTGCAGAAGATACAAACAGCACGAACAATTAAATAAAAAATGTGCCAATTAACTTCATAATAAATTAACATCAGCCTTGCAAACGTGCCGATCTGAGGTATTACACTCATGATGAAACCTCTGTATCTGAGGTTTTTGCAGCCTGTTATTCATGAAAATGTGCTTCCACCTCAGAAAAAAAAAAATGAAAAGCTAATTGTGCAGGTTTAAAATAAGAAATAAAAAGTCACACTGTGAGATATAAAGTCACAGTTACAAGAAATAAAAAACAATTTATGAGAAATAGTGGCAATTGCAAGGCAAAGTCCCAATTACCTTTTTTTTTTTTTACACTGAGGCACAAACCGTGTTTTACGGTTATCACTTAAATAAATCAGGTACTAAGGATCAAAAAGAAAAAAAAGTCCAAATAGGAGACAGAATTATTTCTTTTAGAGAAAAAAAAGTTCTCCACTGCTAGTGTTAGGACTATTCTTTAAAGCTAGTTTAGGAAGATTGATTGTTTGATGGGATTTATTGTTTGATTCAGGATGAGAGCTGGCTAAGGTTACATCAACAGAGCACAAACTGTTGAATGCTACGCCACGAGACAGAAGAAAAGAAGTGTACCTAATGACAAAGTCATGTGAATCAATCTCTCTGCCGCAGCTGCTATTCAGTAATATCCCAGAGTTCCCTACGATGGCACATTGTTTGTAATGCTGGTTCTTCATTGGAGACACCGTCGGCAAAAGGTGGTACAGGTTCTCAGAGATGTTTGTGGTGCTCTGGCGATCAAATATATAATGAATTACATCCCCGGGTTTGAAGGTGCTCTTAAGAATTGAGATGTCCCTCTCAGCATCCAGGAACCTCAAAATGTTTTTCCTGGAAGAAAAATTTAAAATAATAACATACTTTATGAATGCTAAGGGATAAAAAATATAGAGTATTAACAGGGAACCGCATTCTTTAGAAATGCCATACTGTGCATTTGAAAAAATTCAAGCCGTACCTGATGAGGTTAGACAAGGTTCTGTTGAAAGTCCATTCAGGTGAGGATGAATTGCTGGTTTTGCTCTTTATGCATGGCAGTGGAATTGGAGAAGAAGAGACTTTGCTTTTTCTATAGGTGACTAGTGAAGTAGGAGCAGCATTCAAGACTGAATTTCTGATGGAGAAAAAAAAACATGTTTATGTGCATGTCTACCACACTTCACTATTAGACACGGCTACAAATAAACAGCATAACATCTGTCAGCTCAAAATACTGACAGCTATGTTTTGGTAAACCCTGTAATGAATTCGTGAAACCCTGATAAATCAGTAATATGAAAAAAAAACAAAAAAAACAAAACATTTTAAGTAGGTTTAAATAATTAGCATGTAAACAAACAGAAAATAGAATACATTTAAAGACTTATGTGGTTGTAAGCATCAATGATATTTTCTCAGGAAAACACCATAAATCATAAGTGATATAACAAATCAGATTACAAACCTGTTGGACTGAAGGACAAAGCTTTTTAAGTGAAACTTCTGTGAATCCTCAATGTTCCTAAGAGCAGAAGGCATAAAATATTCATCATCATTATCCTGTAATTTGACCATTAATAATGCTCTCCGAGTAGATAATTGAGGCAAAGGCAATTAGAATTTGAATTATAATGATGATGTTTATTTAGGACTTTAATATAAGCCACTCCACTTTTAAACTCTTTAGAATATTTTGATGGTACAAACCCAAGGTTATGGCTAGCGTGTTTTACCCTTGTTATTATGGATTAATCATTTGATAAAAAATAAAGTGTTAGAATATAATACTAAAACCTGGAGGAATCACCTTAAAGGAACAGTGGCTGAAAATGTTCTCACCCTCATGGCATCCAAGATGTAGAGGAGTTTGTTTCTTCATCAGAACAGATTTGGAGAAATTTAGCATTACATCACTTGCTCACCATGTGATACATTTATTTCAAACATACAGCTTTTCACATAACAAGATGTTAACTGATGGAATGTAGTCAAATTGATTACTTGTGGATTTTTGTGATGTTTTTATCAGCAGTTTGGACTCTCATTCTGACGGCACCCATTCACTGCAGAGGATCCATTGGTGAGCATGTGATGCAATGCTAAATTTCTCTAAATCTGTTTTGATGAAGAAACAAACGCACATACATCTTGGATGGCCTGTGGGTGAGCAATTTTTCATTTTTTGGTGAACTATTCCTATCAAACATAACGGCAAGGATAAAAGGTAACCAGTGTTGGGAAGGTTACTTTGCAAATGTAATAGGTTATAGATTACAAGTTATTTAAAATGTAATAAGTAGTGTAACTATTTCAATTACTTTATTAAAGTAATGTAACTGATTACATTTGATAACTTTTTGATTACTTTTCTAAATTTCTAATGAATGTTTTTAACTGTTAATCATTTTCAAATATTTTAAGCATGCAGGCAGGATTAACCAGTTAGTACTCAACACTCAACACTGATTACTGTCAGACTTTCAAAATCCTTCAACACTTGAATTAAGATTATATTTATATATATTATATATAATTTAATTTTAAAGCACAGCACTGGAATGCACTTTTAAAACACTGGAACAATTTTTTAATCACTCGCCATGGTAGCAACTCGGACAGTTTGTAGCCTAAAGCTTTCAGCGGCAATGTGGATTGATGTAAGTGGGAGACTTAGTGCGCTGAAAATTAAAACGAGAACCAATCAAAGGCATCAGAATAGTAATAGATTACAGTTACATTTATTTAGTAATTAAATTACGTAATTCCATTACATGTAACTAGTTACTCCCCAACACTGTAGGTAACTGACATCATGCTGTTCACACTACCTCTACCTGCTGGGTGCCCCTTCGAAGCAGTTAGGACAGGATAGCATTTTCTCTTTGAGCAAATCAGTCCTATTTGTCTACCACTCACTGTAATGTTCTCCATGTCTCCCCCAAAGTCATGGCTACGTGCATTATTAAGCAGACAGAGCACAGATCTCTTAAAATTCTGGGGAGAAAATTATGCAGATTTAATGGTGGTGTTGCTTCAAAGCGCTTATAACTGCTCTGAGATATACCCATTAGATTATAACTGCTTATAACTGCTCTGGTATATCTCATAAGCAGTTATAATATAATCAGCTTATAACTGCTCTGAGATATACCCATTAGATCTTTTGTTTGATAAAGAATTATATTCTAAATTGCAATAAATTATAAACCTCACCAATAACTTAAGCAAGAATTAGATCATAAGCATCGTCTAATGCCTTCTGACAGCTAGTAAATGAGGTGTGAAATTTCCAAATTGGAATTTTAAAATTATATTTTGTCTCTGGGATATTTTGGGTTAGCAAATATGAGGGAGTAAATATTCCCTTACCCTGCGTAATTGATCAATTGTAATCAGTGCAGCAGAAACATGAAATACAATCTCACGGTATAGAGCAAACAAGCCAAGTACTTTGCATAAAATGTCAAATGTGGCAATGCAAAGCATGATCCATTTAAAAATTAAGCACTATATGCACATCCTGGCAGCATACACTTGTGTTTGAGTGTTGTTTATTCATGCAATTATTCCTACAATTAATCCATCTACACACAAACATTCTTCTCACTCAAGAGCTTTAAGGTGTATGTGCCGAGACAGCTAAATTATGTAAGCTTGAGGATTTCTGCTACAGGGTTCAATTATAGCTGAGGAAAGGCAACCCGTTCATTTTTGTCTCCAGGCTGTAGCTTTAAAGTCACAAATCAAACAGTAATCCCCTAGCTGCTACAAACCACAGATCAGACTGTCTTTTCACTTGCCGTGAATGGGCATAAACAGAACACACTCGAGAGTAAAACAAAACCACAAACCAACAGTCATCCGTTACAGAGCACCAGGGTCAGCTGCATTTATCTCATGACTCTCATACAAGGTTTCACACTCAGCAAAGTCTGAAGGACTCATTTTGGAGACCAGCCAAGAATTAATAATCATCAGAGTCTACACAATATTCAGCAAAATTGGCTACAAAATGTGTTATCACTCTGCTGGTAACTAACTCTGAATGGACAAAAGATTAACTTTAAAAGCTTTAAAATATCCCGTATACCCGCCAGATTCTACAGAACTATATTCAACTACATCAAACTATCATGATATCAAACATGTGAGCTGTTCCCTCAAACTGAAGTAGACTACCCACATACACAGGCTGTGCCTTTGCAAACAATAGTCTTCGGGACAACACATTGTCTCCCTCTTTTGACTTAGACACAGTATTACCGTTTGATGAAAGACCAAACCAATCCTGCAGGAAAACACAGTTTAACATGTAGTCTGTGTTTTAAGACATTGTGGCAGGTCTAAGCTGGTTATTTGCTGCTCCAAAATGGTTATTAGCTGGTCCTAGCCAATCATTTGCTGGTCCAAGGTGGCCATTAAGTTGGTAAGGTGGTAAATCATCTTGGAACAGCAACAAATCAACCTCAGTGGTCAGGCTGGCTTTTTGGAATATGGTAGCTTGTCAGACAGCTGTTGAACAGCTTAGACCACCTAATGACCAGCTTGAACCAACTAGACCAGTTATTTTCCAAAACACAGCTCCGGTTCAAGACTGATTTTGTAATAGAAAAAAAAAATACACAAAATAATCAGGTAAATAAAATGTACAGCTCTCAGGCATTTTCTGTATATTCATGGTATTAATACGAGCCAATGTAATACGCAGCTCAGGCTAGTCCTAAATGGACTGTCCATTGTTTGGGCTTCTACAAAGTCTCTCTAGAGACAATCAAAGCACGGAGGACAATGTCCTAAACATAAACACCACATAAACATAAATGGAGTACAACTGCGCGTCGAAACAAACAGGAAGACCAGACAAGAATGTGATATTCATCCGTATATTGTTTATTGTACATTAATCGAATGTACTTACGCGATTTCTTCCTCCACTTCCGATATATCAGCTATAATCACAAATATAACCAGGGCTGTCCCGATTCCAAACATCAGTATTCGGAATTCAAAAGACATGACTTGACCGATACGCGACATTCTACAGATGCGTTGAACTATAAGCGCAATAGAAATCTGTTCTTCTTTCACACTGCTTCTTTACGCAGGACAACACATGTAACGTTCCTCCGTCTCCTCGACAAAGCCGAACCATTCTAACGAACAGTTGTCTGCAAATATCACGTCCATCAGCTTCTTCCACCTTTACGAAAGCAGTGTAGAGATGAGGCAAACGTGAACGTCCTTTCTTCTCTTCTACTGCTGCCGCTAACGCTACTCGGAGATCTGTTCTGGTGGGTGGCAGTTCCCTTGAAACTTTGCCTGCAAGGTGCATAAACTCACATATGAATGTTATGCATTCAGTTAAGCCGCGTAATTGGTATAGATAGGCAGAAGGCGTGGATTTGAAATTGAATATGAAATATGATTCCCCCTCTCCGTCTTGCTCTCTTTGTTTCTATTTGACAAAGACACAGACACAAACGTTTGGTTTTCTACGGTGAGGACTTTCTATTGACTTCTGTTGTTTGTATATTGAGCTAATGGTCTTTTCTAACCTCTAATCCTAAATTCTTGTCCTAACCTGGTGCTACGCGACAGGGTTACAGCGGAAAGGCATTTGTCTGTTTAACAGCTGCAGGACGCGACATAATCAATCACAAATCACAGCCAATCAGAACAGCTCCCTCCGTCCGCGCGCTTTCTCGTGCTGCACAACGTAAAACACCTTTTATTTTCACGACTTTCGTGCTGTTTTTGTGCTTTTCATAATTTTCTTTGTGGAAAGTTTGATTTGTCATATGATATCCAATATTTCTCAAATTCCACAATCAACCTTACCTCTTGAGAGTTCCGTGTGGGCGGGGCTACGCAACGCTGCAGAACAATGCAAAATATTTCTATTTCCTGTAAATGTGCAAGACTTTGATTCATTAGCCACTCTATAAATAACTAGGAGAATAACAGAGTGCAGTAACAGTAAAACTGTTTTTTTCACATTAATAGCCTACCAGTTTGCAATCAAGCAGCATAAAGCATAATAACAGTTAGGCCTACTACTAATCAAAACAGCTGATTCTGAATGCAGATTTTTGTGGGACAAAAGCAGTAATTTCACTAGAAATCCACACAATTAGGAATTTCATGTGAGGGCGAAAAATTTCTCATGCAGATTTCGCAACATTTTACAGGTGGTTACACGGATTTGCTACCCCCCCACCAACAGAAAGCTACTTAGTTTGAAAATGACTTATGTGTGTGCTGTGCTTCATCACTACACTATTTTATTTATTTATTTATTGTCTTATTTTGCTAATTTGACAGCACATTACAAGACTGATTTTGTACAGCTAAAATAACAGGAAGCGGCCGACAAACCTTGCACATTCAAGTTAAAAATGACTGCCCCAGCTCTTACATAAAAATATGGTGGATTTTGCCATAGCCTATATTTATATGGAAGAAAAAGTAAGTGCAGTATGTTAGTATTTTCTTGTCAGTCACAGCTGGTTATAACAAATTTAATTGCTGGAGGTCACAATGTCAATGTGCTAATGGGGTTTTGCCTACATTGTAGGGACATTTGGTCATTTGAACCCCACTACAAACGCACACACACAGACAAAAGCAGCTGCTGCTTCAGCCAACAGTCCTTTCATCTTTGATTCTGATCGTCTCTGATTTAATTGAAAGGTAGTAAAACTTTAATTTGTGAGAAGGTTGTTTCAGTGATCTACAGACCTAAAACAATTAGGCAGCATAATTGTTTTATAGCTAAGATTGACTGGTTATCATGATCACTCACCAAGTGTTTCAGAACACCGCAGATTTTTGTGGGACAAAAGCAGTAATTTCAATAGGAATCCACACAATTAGGAATTTCATGTGAGGGCGAGAAATATCTCATGCAGATTTCGCAACATTTTACAGGTGGTCACGCGGATTTGCTGCACTGACCAACAGAAAGCTACTTAGTTTGAAAATGACTTGTGTGTGCTGTGCTTCATCACTACACTATTTTATTTATTTATTTATTGTCTTATTTTGCTCATTTGACAGCACATTACAAGACTGATTTTGTACAGCTAAAATAACAGGAAGCGGCCGACAAACCTTGCACATTCAAGTTAAAAATGACTGCCCCAGCTCTTACATAAAAATATGGTGGATTTTGCCATAGCCTATATTTATATGGAAGAAAAAGTAAGTGCAGTATGTTAGTATTTTCTTGTCAGTCACAGCTGGTTATAACAAATTTAATTGCTGGAGGTCACAATGTCAATGTGCTAATGGGGTTTTGCCTACATTGTAGGGACATTTGGTCATTTGAACCCCACTACAAACGCACACACACAGACAAAAGCAGCTGCTGCTTCAGCCAACAGTCCTTTCATCTTTGATTCTGATCGTCTCTGATTTAATTGAAAGGTAGTAAAACTTTAATTTGTGAGAAGGTTGTTTCAGTGATCTACAGACCTAAAACAATTAGGCAGCATAATTGTTTTATAGCTAAGATTGACTGGTTATCATGATCACTCACCAAGTGTTTCAGAACACCAGATGTTATGAGAGGTATTAAAATTTGCTGTCTTTTTAAGAGTGCATCCATCAGATGTAACTGGAGAAAAAAAGCTGACAAAAGGTTACTTACGAAGATTGTGGATGACAGTTTCCACCGTCTTCCAGGCTCAGGAATACACTGAAACAATCCTGGCATATCATTTCTAAACCTACAAATGAAGAAGCTTCTCGCGCCGTGAAAGATGTACTGTTTATATCACTGTTTCTTGTCAGGTCTAACATCCTCACTGCTTATGAAAATATGCTGCTTGTGTAGGCAAATGTAAGTTTGTATTAGGAAATACTGATATAACAGTAAAGTGGGACACTTTGGGATTTTTATTCCATTTATTCTATTTTTATTATTCAAATATCATCATACACTGCTGTCATCCCATCATGCATATTGAGGATAAACCTAATACTCTTTTTAGAAATGGAAGAATACATACAATGATACAAGAGTAAATTGTCCTACTTCACCTATATTCGACCTATTAGCTGATGGTTGTTCATGATTATTTATGAATTCCTGCATCAAGTTCATCTTGCCATTAAACTAACGTTTGCTATTTTGTCAGCTTAAGATCTGTAATTTTCTTTCTTTGTCAAGGTTCTGAGAATATTTGCAAATGAGCTCACAAAAGTGGTGTTTTGTGCCCACAACCCTATAGTGAATTTCTGAAAGAAGCAGAAGGAATTTTATTTGAATCATTCTGATATATTCGTGTGCTTTGTGCTGCCAGAGATGGCCTAGAAATTGTGGTGTCCGTGGAGAAAAGAGTAAGGAAATGAAAAAGGGGGTCATCTTTCTGCCATATTTTTAATTTGTCCTCACAATTGCTTTATAGGGAGTCTGTATGCATGATGGGTTGTGAAAACCTTTTGATTAACATTTTGTTTACGTGTGTGCGTTTAATATCTAGGCCAAAATGCTTAAATCTTAAAGGTTCTTTATTGGCACCTATGATTCCATGAATAACCTTTAAAGGGGTCATATGGTGCTGCTAAAAAGAACATTATTTTGTGTATTTGGTGTAATGAAATGTGTTTATGCGGTTTAAGGTTCAAAAAACACATTATTTTCCACATACTGTACATTATTGTTTCTCCTCTATGCCCCGCCTTTCTGAAACGCGTTGATTTTTACAAAGCTCATCGTTCTAAAAAAGCGAGGTGTGCTGTGATTGGCCAGCTATCCAGTGCGTTGGGATTGGCCGAATACCTCAAGTGTGTGACGGAAATGTTACGCCCCTCACCATACTGTGATGATGTCCTGTCAGGCCGGAGCGATGATTCAAAAACATGAAAACCCATTATAAACGAGGCATTCGTTGCATCCAGTGGGGACATAATTATGGATTATAATGACTTATCTTTTTATGCGTTGAGTTGCATCGCGCCGTGTAAACATAAAACCATGTCTGCATTTGTGATCGGAGAAATGACAAACAACAAGCGCTACTCTACACTGCCCAAAAAACTCGCTTTAAATATAAAAAATATAAAATATAAAAACTCTTTAAATATAAAAAACTTACTTACAGTCT